CCAGACTAGAGGTTGTCTCCAGGTTGGTATTGTGGCTCTGTGGCTGTGAAGTAATCTTCAAGGAAGGATTGTATGTATTCAAAGGTCGGCCTTTCATCCGGGTCCTTCTTCCAACACAGCCTCATCATCTCATGCAGGGACTCCGGGCAGCCCTGGGGACAGGGCATGCGGTAACCTCGCTCCACCTGCTCCAGCACCTCGCGGTTCACCATCCCTTGGGAAACGGGAAAGAAGCGAAAATTATCACACGGCATCTTTATAGTGAAATTAAAAAGTTTAGTCGTATTAAAAAAAAAAAAAAAACCAAAACACTGATCTGAGTCCTGGTCAAAATGGTTTAATATCCGGTTAAATGAAAAAGGAAGGGCTAATAAAAGAGGACAACAGGAATTTGGACAAACTTCCCATCAACGTCACAGCTGTCCTCAGAGGGTTCAGCGTATTTTTCTTGGGAAAGACGCCAAAGGGAAACTACAGAGGTTTTAACGTCAGCATGCAGCCCGCAGCTCTCAAAATCCTCGACAGTCGTGTGTGGCAGGCAGGACTTAAAACCCACGCAGGTTTTGGGATAAACTCGCCGGGATGCTGGATCGTTTTATCCTGCAAAACGTGTAGCCTGTGTTTCTGAAAGCTGAAGCTCGTGCAGAGCGACGGCTTTGCCTCTGTGTTACGGCGCGCACTGGTAAATAAACTCGGGCTTTTTCGGCAGGGCTGCCGCTTTCAAGCAGAAAACAAAGCGTCTGCCTCATCCCTCAGCCCCTTTTCCTCCTGAGCAGCATCGGAGTCGTGGAGTCCTTCCCAGGACAGGAAGACAGCCACTCTGAACCCTGTGACACGGCACAGAAATGGCTCCATGGGGAGCTCGACTGCAGCTAAAAGAGGTTATGACACAGAGTCAGTGGCATGGTCTAAGCCACACACAACCCCCCCCTCTCCCTCATCACTCTGTGGGAGAGTGGGGATCAGATTATCTCACACTCCGAGAAAGAGGCTGGGCCCAGGACAGCTGCTGAGACCGGGACACGGCTACATGGCAGCGCGGCGGATGCTGCGGCAGGATTTAAGTCTTACATCTGAAAACCTGAGCTGTAATTAGACATCTGACATAGATCTGAGTGTGTCCAGACATCTCGTCTCAAACAGAAACCCCCCTCCAGCCCCATGGAGATGCTTGCTAAATGTGCCCCGAAATATTTGCAAAATGAAGAGCCATCATAAATGGGAGAAAATGAGTGGGTTCAGATCCTAGAATCTGCTCTTTGGTGAGGATAAATGCGGCCGAGTGATCTTAACCAAAACCCAAGACGGCCACCAGGGCCAGATGGCCATTTACGAATGGGGGGTGGTTAAGTCAGCCATATGGCAGGCCGTCATCAGTTTAAGACACGCGCTGCGGTATTGCTCTGCCACAGCAGGGGGCTGACACCAGGTGGCAGGATCTGGACTGGGAGCTTTCAACTGGACAGCAGCACTGACTCACTCAGCTCATTCTCCTCTGATCCACACGGGATGACTCAGAACCAGAAGTAACACGCTGGAATCATCCTGAATTGTTGATTTACAGAGGAACTTTGCATCATCCTCAGTGTATGTGTGTGTGTGCGTGCGCGCACTGTCCTCACCTGGGTATGGTACTCTGCCCTTAGTCACCAGTTCTGTCAGTAGTATGCCAAACGACCAGACATCCGATTTGATGGTGAAGCGACCGTATAGAGCTGCTTCGGGGGCTGTCCACTTGATGGGGAATTTAGCACCTGGGGGGTAAGGAGTTCATTTATTTTTTTTAACAAATCATGGACAGAAGTGGAGATACTCACAGAGTTTGGTCTACCAATTGCTTAATTAAAAGTTTAAAATAGGAAAAATGCTTTATAACCACAGATCAGTTTTAATTAAAAAATGGCAGATGTCTAATCAGGTACATTATTAATGTTTACATTTCTGAAAAATAGGTTGGCCAGCTCATCCTTTGAGGCTTGAATATGATCACTGTGATGACTACTTTACTACCTACTTTATTTCCTTTCTGCATCGCTGCAATCAGACTGAATCTAAAGGTGGGTGTAGATTCTAAGGCTTAAAAATAAATGGGAGATATTCATAGCCTGTGGAAATCCTCGCAGAGAGCAACAGCTGTGGGTCTCTGTGCACCAGCTGCTTCCAGGCACAGACACACACCTTGTCGGGCGGTGTACTCGTTGTCCTCAATAAGCCGAGCCAGGCCAAAGTCGGCGATCTTGCAAACCAGGTTATCAGCCACCAGGATGTTGGCAGCTCTCAGGTCCCTGTGGATGTAGTTCATCCTCTCTATGAAGGCCATGCCGTCTGCAATCTGCGAAACAAAATGCATGTAGCTCTCTGATTTCACCCACATTCTTAATGCGGGCTGATTTGAAAAGAGGCACAGTCGGGCTGTGGCAACCAGAGCAATTAGGCAAATCTTAAACACAGCTATCAAACATCCTCTCACACTGTCTGTCAACTCCCTCTGAGGCATCTCTGCTTTCAGCCTGAGTCAGACTGACTCTCAAACAGTTTTCTGCTCTGTTGAGCAGGGAGGATCGAGCCAGGGAGCTTGGAGAGCCAAATTAAGAGCAGATCACAGTAGGTGACTGAACTCGCGAGCTTAAGTGGCCTCTGGTGAGAAGTGTTTAAGTACTGGAGGCCGTTAAGTGTAGGCGAAGGAGGGGAGGCACACGCAATTGTGGTGAGAAGGAGGCGGGGAGAGGGCGTGGGAGATATTAAATAAATAGAGAAGGCTAGAAGGAGAATAAAAAAAGCAGTCATTCACAGCTCCTTGCACACACCCACACACACACACACGTCTGCAAACACGGAGTGGTCTCTGTTTGGCTGCTGATACAGCTTCCCTTCACGCAGAGTTAAAACGGCAGCTGGACCGTTGAGCGCACCTGCGCTGGCGTTTAGCCGTTAGGTGTTGATCCTACCTGTGAAGCCATGTCCACCAGCTGAGGCAGCTTCAGATATTTCCCATCGCCCTCTTTCAGGAAGTCCAGCAAACTACCTGTCAAGAGTGAAAAAGATCAGAGTCAAACAGGATCAATGCACGCCCCCACACAGTGTGCCAACCAAAAAAAAATGAGGCTAAAGTTCAATGGCACTACTTCTGACAGCTCTGAAGTCTCAAGCAACTTAAAAGCCAAGAGAGGAAGCTTAACTCTCAAATCTGTCAGTATGTGTCTGCACACATTTGAGTAGAGCTACATTTAGATGTGGACATTTAATAGGTCTACAGTCCTTGGAGACCTAGGTGCACAGGAAGGGAACTGACAAACTGCCTGAGGTATTTCCCACCCTGAGACTCTCTGGACTGTGAGAGTAAACGGCACTAAGGAACACACTTATTTATTTAAACTAAAATAATGATTTTTATTAGAGCAGAGTGACAGTTTAAAAACGCTCAGAAAGACCCAAAAGTGACACGGACACTTGAGCTGACTTCCATCTCAGTTTTACATGTTCAGCTGCCTGATAAAAGCATTTTAAAATCTGCCTCTGACTGGCCAAACCTTTCCCCACTAAACATGATCCGTGTGTTCATTAAAAATACAGGTTTCTAAAACAGCAGCTGACGTCTCTAGTTGCAAAACACCTACACGTTAGAAATCTGTCTTAGTTAAATCAGAAGAATTCTTTGACTCAAGGTTACTCAATGTTGAACTGAATCTTAGAGAATTCAAACACTTTAAGAATGTTTTCAAAAGTCCCATAAGATTGCTCACCTTCTCTTTTACAGAAAACTAAGCAAGCTTTGTACTATTTCTCTTCATAAAGGATACACATCTCCATCCTTTTCCATCTCATGTAAACTCTATAGTAGATGAGGACTAAGTGTTTAGGGGTTATCATTTGAGAACAATGGTTGTTCAGTGCATTTTTGTGTTGTGAAACATACAGCCCCCAGGGTGTCACTTTTATGTACAACATGGGCCCATCATAGTCAAGAGTATGTTTTTCCTTACCTTTCCCCATAAACTCGGTAACTATATAAATGGGCTCTTCAGACACCACAGCGTAGAGAGGCACCAGCTTGTCGTGCCTTAGCTTCTTCATGATCTGAGCCTCCTGCAGGAAGGCCTCTGGCGACATGGTGCCGGGCTTCAGGGTCTTGATGGCCACTTTAGTAGTACCGTTCCATGTGCCTGAATGGAAGCACAAAAGAACGCGGTCAATCTCAGCGTGTTGGGACAAACATCTAAGACATGTCTAATACCTTCAATAACAAAAAAGGCAGCAATAGCAAACTTTGTGATCCCCGTCAGTTCGCCCGCTGATCTCTGCGGCCTTCCAGTGTGCATAGCGCCGCTCGGAAGAGAAACAACGTGACGGCTCAAATAATCAGCTACTTCCTGGTTGAGAGCCACTTACTCACGCCCTGCTTACACACAATAAGCCGAGCAGCAGATCTGCTGCTCCCATCACCAGGCTGACCTTCATGAATGACTCATGCGGAACAAACTTTCCATACACAAACGAGCCCACGGACGGAGCAGGATGGTGGCAATGCGCAATAAAAAGGTACAATAGAGGACGGCGGAGCCGGGGCTCGGGGCAAAACAGAAAGAAAATGAAAACAAAAAACCAAGAGCACGTAAGCAGAGATTTCCAACGACAAGCTGCAGCAGAGCAGGAAGCCTTCGTGAGGAGGCGCAGCAGGGATTCCAGGGATTGCACAGAGGAGGTTTGCAGGCCGAGGCTTGCCGCAGGGCGGGCCGAATGAAAGAGGGAGCGGTGAGAAAAATAAAGCAAGAGCAGTGTTCACTCAAAAGCTCAGTCGAACACAGAGGCTGGAGAAATGAAGCGTAGGAAGTGATCTCCGATCACTGAGCTCTGTGTGTGAGCGAGAAGCCCCGGCAATCGGAAATCAGCATTCACACCAGCGTGGGGGCACCAGAGCAGCAGCACTGCTCCCGGGTCGGCCCCAGTTGACGTCATTAGCGATGCGCTCGCACATTTCCACTTCTTCAGCATGATTCTGGATTAAATTTACATTAGTTATGAATAATGAAGGAATGGAACGGGTTGTCTTCTTGTGTAAAGCTAAATGGCCGGGCAAGTAATCGCCAACAGAGCTCATTGTATTCATTATGAATTCATGAGTCTTTGTGTCCAACATCAGCTTTCCAGGCAGGATATACGAGGGAGTGTTGAGGCAGGGAACACAGCATGCATGCAAAATTACCCCGGACTCATCTCAAGGCACCCGGCCGCACAGATCAGGAGGATGCTACACCTTCAAAAAATTCTATTTAATTTCCATCAAGCACTTAAACTACACTTCAGCTTTTGCTGTAAGATTACCCAGTAGTTGAGCATTTTTTCTGTCCAAAGCTAAACGCATTTTGTAGAAAATGTATATTTCGTCACTTGTGTTTCATGGAGAAGCAGAAAAAGATTAGGCTAAATATGGAACGGCAGCCAACTAGTTAGTGTGACTTTACATTAAGACTTGGAAAGAATCTATAAAAGCTTCTGCACAGTAATTCAATAATCAGTCATCTTATCCTTTGAATTGACTCATTTATATCTGGATTTACCAAAAGAGCTTTCTTTGCTTTTTGTTATAATGAAGAGTAATAACATTAAATAAATTAAAAAAACATTTCGTCTATTAACAGAGTTACTGAGGGTAAAAGCAATTTCTGCCTATTTCAAGTCTTCATACTAAAATAAGCTCTTTTTTTCCCTACATATTGAAAGGCTTCTCAGTAAACGGCTCAAAACATATACACCATAACTCACACACAGCTACGTGTACAATTTGAAGTCAGGTGGCCGGCCCCTTCCAGGAAGCCCAGTGTGCTCCGATTAGTCAGCTACTTTGGCCTGATAAGGTTTGCTGTATGAAACACTGATGGAAAAGCGTGAGTCATCAATATATTTAGACTATTTTTCAGAAAATGACACATTTTAAAGAGGTCCAGATGCTCCTGTAACATAATTTAGATACTGAAACTCATATCCTGAGTTTGTTTGAATAGGTTTAGCTGCGATACCTTTATGTACTTAGAATCTACATAAAATACCAACTTATTATTGTGGCAACCCAAGCATTTGCATTTAATGAAGACTGCAGCACCAGCGTTTATCCAACAACCACAAACACACCAACGGCTGCTGGAATACACCTCAAACATTCCCTTACCCATCCAGACTTCCCCGAAGCAGCCCTGGCCCAGTTTGACTTCCAGTCTGAGCGACTCTCGTGGGATTTCCCAGGCGTCTTTAGCAAGTCCCTGAGTCTGCGGCTTCACGGTGGGACACACGGTCGTCAGCCTGCAGCACAGACCGTCAGCATGTTCTGGACAAAACGCAGGAGGGAGAGGGAGGGGGGCAGAGACACAAACATTAATGATCAGCACAGTAATAAGATACAGGTAAGAAATTCAAAGAAAATCAGATAATGGATTTTTTTAGGCTATTATAAAGATGTATTAAATACAATAAAACTTTAGGTTATATTTTTTTTTAAATGTTTTAAAATCATTATTGAGCAATGTTGGAAAAAAGGGACCTCGCAGAGGATCTTTCCCCCCCTCTTAAAACAGTATCCTGCTTCTCAGTAGGCCGTGTAGGTCTCTTGTTCCTCTGCTGGTTTGAGTCTCACACGGCTGTGGCCTTTTGGGACTTTCACATTTACAGAGTTGTGGCTAACTCAGTGAGTGCCCCGCTGGGGGTCAATTGTACTACAAAAACACATGATGGCACGTACAGTTTCTTACTTTAACAACACTTACACAAAAAAATAAAAAAAAACTCTTGGGCACTGGAGTCACTATGGCCATCACATCTGCCCAAACTTAAGAAGAAAAACCACCTTGTTTTTGGGTGGACGATCTTTTGAAGCTGTAAACAACAATTTGTCTAAGTGCTACGTGCTGGAGGATGAGACGTGACAGTTGGCTGCATACCTGTGTAGTGTTTCACCAGCTTCTGCAGCGTCTCAAACTGGGCTCTTGTGGTTATGTAATAACCGCCGTTGTCCAGCTTGCGGATTTTGTAGTGTTTGACATTGTCGCCCTTCACCTCGTCCCAGTCCCGTATAGACAGAGAGTAGGCACCTGAAAAGAGTCAGATCCACACTATTGGAATCTTCCGAGGAGATGAGGAAGCTCCTTCATTTCAGCCTTGGATATCACAGCTTCCTTTCTCCCCATCCTACCTTTGGTTGTTTCGCTCTCTCGTACCAAGAAAGTACCCCGCTGGTTCCCTGGATGCAGTAATAGACGTTCAGTGTCTTTGCGTCCCATTTTCCCAAAGTACCACCTGCCAAAAGAGAGAGAGAGTCAGACAGGGATGCTGTGAACATGAAAGAAAGCTGCATCAGTCATGTAGGAGGAATGTGTTTCTAATGAGGTGCTTAGATGTTGGATGCCCGGGGAATCGTACACGTCCTGCCCTAACACAGGGAGGTCTAACGTCTCGTAAATGAAATGTATGTGATCCTATTCCTGAGGGGTTTAAATTCCCGAGTGCAGTTCTTACTGAGTGTCAGTCAGAGGCAACTAAATATTGTCGAATCCCAAACAATTATTTTTGCTCACGTATCAACTTTTCTCTGCAAAGTCTTGAGCTTGTCCCATGAAATATCTAAAGGTTCCAGAAAATATCCCTGGCTATAAATAAGTCAAACAGCTGTCAGCTGTGAATACATTTACTCTTTTCTTCTCTGAAGGAAAAAAAAAGAAAAAAAGAAGAGCCCGCTTCCGTATTTCAAGAAACTCTAGCATGTTCAGTCATGTTAGGAAAAAAACTGTCTAACCTCACGGGCAAACTGTCATAACAGGCGTTCCCCCCCCCCCCCTTTATCGTTTTGTTTTTGGTTAAAGACTTTATGGCTGTTTTTTACCGAAAGTTTTAAATATTTGTTAATTCACTCACCTAATAAGAAAGACAATAACTAAGCCAATAAAAATACATCAAAAGTATAACAGCATAGTCCCTTCATGTTTCTGTTTCTCATGTTTCTGTCATACTGGAAGAAGAAGAAGAATGTGAACACTATTCATTTGTTACCCAAGAGAAACTCAGTGATAGAAAGCAGGGCTCAGTGATACTTTGATTCTCTCATCCTTAAGAAGGAATGACAAAATGAAAGGAAGGGGAACTCAATGCTTGGAGGATGACAGAATAAAACATTAACACAGTTTTGGGAATAGTGAATGATTTGACTTCTTACTCTTCAGCCTGAATGGAGTCAGCCGGGGCCACGTAGTTACTGGGGATGTAACCTTTCTGTCCAGTGTTGATGGAGCGAGCCTCCCACCAGTCACCTTCCCTGAGGAGTTAAGCAGATTAATACTCAGAAGGATGTAACTCGCATACACACACACACACACAAAAACGCCGCATCCCAGAAACTCTGTGGCCAGTTTTTGAAAAGACTGAAAAAGCAGTTTTGCAGACTGTCCTGATGTGATGCTTTATGAAAAGAAGTTATGGCTGATTTATACAATACATTGATTTCAAACAACTATCCAAGGTACAGAAAAATACAGATTCCGGTATGAGTAGAAAATGCAACATCTGAGAGGATTGTTTTTCATTTTGTCATCAAATGAAGGTGATTGGTTACTTATGTTATCCAGTTGTATCGAGTTATATATCAAGTTATATCAGAAAAAGAAAAAACTTTATTCCACCTGGCTATTTTCTATTATAAATGCTGAACTTGTAAATAAATAAAAACAACTGGCCTTAAAGAGCCAAATAAAAACGGGTCTACAGGATTAAATATCTAAATTTAATTTAATGCTGAGAAAAGCACCCTTTTTCCTACTAAACTTCATTGTGGCAGCATGTCTGAGCTCATCCTGTCAAACACTGTTCATTTTTCACTCCAGGCTCTTTAAGACCTCCTCTCACATGGAATCAAACCTTTACAACAAAAAAAAAACCTCCAGTCTATTTGCAAACTTTGAAAGTCATGACCACAGTTCATGTATACATGCGTATATATAAAATGAAAAATGACTGAGAAGTGACTAAACAAAGCAAATAGAGAGTAAGTCGCTGTGTTTACAGGTACTGAACACAAAGGACAGGGCGGCCTAAATTCGGAGAGGACGGGCTGAGATGCAGATATAGAATCTGTCTGGTGGCATTTTGAAAAAAACCCTGTTTAATCTGTGCCGTTCCCACCTCTCCGCTGAAAGCAGATGGCGTTTTCATCACCGTAAAAGCAGCGCGGGCTTAGACGGAGGTGGGACGTGATGTGGTGCGGGACAAATGAGAAGGAACAGGATTTGTTCAGCATTTATTCCCTCTGTGGAGCAGCAGGTGGCCAAAAATGTATAGCAAATTGTATTCCTGCGTGAAATCTATGGCCAAGTCCTCCATCACATAACCGAGAAGCTGTTCTGGATGACGTGCAAGGAGGTGCTCATACTTTCACATGCTCGAAAAACAAAAACAAATCAAGGTTATTCTGAGACAACCGAACCCACATTATCTTTTTATGTGGATGCCAGTTTGAATGTCTCCACAGCAGGTTTTACATGCCAACCCAAATTCCATTCCCTTAATATAAAGGAAGGCTTTCTGTGCAGAAAAACAAGAAATGGCAACTTAACAGATGGTCCATTAGAGGAGGCCATTAATGCAGACAGACCTTAAAATCAGCCTGAATCCAACCAGGGATTAAACGCACGCGCACACGCACACACGGGGTGTGTAAATGAAACCAGGAGCCCACATTCCCACACAGCACCAGCTACTTCCTGTGCGCGAGTACTCACGTGTTGTTTATAATCTGAAAGCGATCTCCTTTTTTGAACGACAGGTCATCCGACGTCCTCGCTTCATAGTCGTATAGAGCTACAAAAAATGTCACGCCGCCTGCAAGCAAAAAGCGAACATTAGGAGAGGAAAAAAAACAACACATGCTGGTAACTGGCATCAGATGCCATTTGCTCCTTTAATGACACCATTTCCTTCATTTGAGAAAAAAAAAAAACACTTTTCAGTTTAGAAGACTTTTAAACGGATCAAAACTCTGTCTAAACTCTGTCCGCTGATGTTAATTGTTAAAAACTCTGCAGCGAAACACACCCCATAAAGTTCTAAACCTGTCTATGTCAGATGGGTGAATTCAGCTGATGTCATGAACCTTCCCTATACAATGAAAAGAACTGACATGTGACAAAGTGCAGATAGGCAACATGCCTCTGATGTGTTTGCGTGGTGGAGGAAATTGAATTTTGCAGAATTGCATCTGCAGCAGCAGGAAAGAATGCCCTCTCAGAGAAGGAGGGTGCTTCTCATTTAGAGCCCACAGCAGCGTCTGAGGTCTGAGAGCAGCAGGCTTCGCTCGCCCGATAGGCAGGAAGGCCGTGTGCCACAGTTTATCCGCGCCGTGGTCTAACAGACTACACCTGGATCACTGGCCATTGGACGCTTGTTATGTGGAGACACTTTGCCAAAGAATCTGTTATCCAAATCACACTTTTAAATGCATCAGAAAAGATTATCGTAAAGTTAATATACACTGGACTGCATTGAGGTCTGCAGGGTCCCAGCTTATGATGCAAAAACAGAAAGCATCAACGGCATTGTAAGAGTGGAGGAATCCGTTTAGCTCTGCGGTTTGTCTAAAAAAAAGGGAAAATAAAAGTGTGAACGTGAGTTTGAAGGAGGAACATGGCAGCATGTCCATTCAAGTCACATCCTTACACAAAGAGTTAAACTTCTATTGTCAATGGAGGAGAATCTTGCCCTGAATGAGTGAATAAATCTCATTCTATGCATGTAAATGTTTTTCTTTGGCACTCGGGGGAGGGAGGGAGGGGCATGTCTGCTGCTTTGCTTCCCATATTATAAACCTGATTTGGGTTTCTGCTCAGCCTTGATGCTTTGGCTCACTTGTTTCAAATGTCTCATTTGCATAACATCTGCTGCTGGTAGCATTCTGTGGATTACAATTCATCTGAATGTGCTCTGAAGGTGTTCTGCATCTAATGACAGCAACACTGGGAGCTGGGAGCCGGCTGTGGAAAATGTCTACAGCACCACGAGCGAATGAACAGGCCGCGTTTCACGGCTTCATTCGGGGTCATCTTGATAAGCAAACGATAGCTGCTCTCCAACTGTGTGGAGTCATCTCAGATGTACAGCCGGCCCGGCATTCGCGTCCTCTGACCACTGACCTGTGATCACCGCGGGGAAGGGGCTGCTCACGGCCACCGAGGTGAAGGACGTGGAGGCGCCGCCGAAAGGCGCCATGACCGAAGAGGCTCCGCCGAAGGGCGTGAGGGCGGCGGCGTGGCTGTTGTAGCTGTTGTTGTGCATCTTCAGAGCTGGCGAGTGGCCCATCAGGGTGGGGTCGGGCCCGTAGGGGCCCTGGTGGGTGCTGGCCGGCGTGGCATTGGAGTTGTCGGGTCGGTACTTTGGTGTCTTATCCTCTTTACTCCTGACGCAACCCATCATCAAGCCTAAGGGGAAGAGGCAGACAGAGGGGGGGGATCAAATTACGGCGGGAGATTGTGTTTGCTTTCATCCAACTCAAAGCGTCCGATCTCATTAAGCCGACTCGTGCTGCTGATCGGACCGGTGTCAGAAGAGCAGGTTTCAGCTTTCGAGTGCGACTCAACCGTTAGAACCGTTGAGCTGATAAGACAGCAAATGGTTTTTAATGAATTTCCCGACACCGTGTCTCAAGATCAGGAAGGCAGAGGTGACTAGAAAAAAAAAAAAAAAAGGGCGTTCAGCCAAACGCTGAGGCGTTGGCCCTGATAGAAACCGACAGGTGAAACCGGAGCTGTTTGGACTGGACACATGTGGGAGTGACACACAGCTTTAGAGTTTCAAAGCGAAACCACAACATTGTTCAAAGAAGCCTGAAGCATTTATCAGCCATTTAGAGAGGAAAGAATGAAAGCTAACAGGTGGTGTGCAAACCATTACTAAATGCTGCCTCCATTTAACCTCCTCAGGTGGTTAAATGCTGCTGACGCAGATTTTAAATGAGACCACATAAAAAAAAAGAAAAAAAGACATCTGGTGATAAGTCGTGTCCTCCTGTGAGATGTGTGTGTTCTGTATTGTGAGAACTCAGCACAAAGAATTTAACAACATAAATAGACAATTAGTAACATTTGGCTTCATGTTTTAAGTGAGACTGAGGATCTCCGTTTCCACAACAGCGAGTCCTAAAAGATCGGTGGGGTTTGTATAGCCATCGGCTCCCAAAAAAAAAAAAAGTAGCAGAGAGTAAGGGGCATGAGGGGGGCAAAGGCCGGCGCAGTGTCCCTGTGCAGAGATGGGAGCTTTTACTGGACACCTGTGGTCTCTTCGGCAGAGCACGCGTGTGGTCCCGTCCTGCTGCAGGGCAACGCAACTCGGAAGCTGAGCAACTTTTCAATGAGTCATACTCTGGCATTTGGAAAAAAAAAAAAGTTAACGGCATAGTTTGGCGTGCCTGTCAGCGGCTGCCCACGCTGCTATGAGGTGGGTGCTGCTCCGGCTGAAGAACGCGTGCTTTGCAGCAGCCCCCATGCGGGTGTGTGTGCCTGCCTAACGAACGGGCAAAACACATCCCCAAACACAACTCCTGCCCCCTTACACAGGTGAACTTTTTAGTTCATATGACTGGCACCCGGCACAGATCTGTCAGCATTTCCTCATTTCAACATCAAGTGTATAAGCCCACTTTCGACTGTGCAGTCATCAAAATGATGAATTTCGTTTTTTGCCCCCTCCCCCCATTCTAATCATTCATTTGCAAGCCAGCTTGCAGTGTTTGCATGAATTGGAAGAGGCTGACCACAGACCACAGAGCTGGAATAACATATGGCTGTTTAAACGTTCCGTAAACTCATTTCATCTTTAGGCAAAAAAACAAAACATATAATTACCATTGTAGATCTTTTCATTTAAAAACTGCAATCCTTTAAAGCCCTGATAAATCAAACGGTGCTTTGACCAGAGAAACCCAATTACAGGCTACAGCAATGCAACAAGCTGGTAGAATTTTTTTTTTTTTTACAGCTCTATTCATACTTTATTACTTCTGTTTTACTCTTCTATTTAGTGCCTTATATACAGATGAGTTGCCATGGTGATTCCTAACTGAATTTAATATGGGACCACACAGAAAGATGTATTGATCGAACAACAATAAACCCGTAAATAATGAGAATTTGTATTATTTTTCTTTTAAACTAGGGCAGAAGGGGTTTGGGAGTCTTTTTGGCTTTATTCAAAGTAATAGCTCAGCCTCTGAAAAGCTTCCCGGCAGTAAATCCTGATAAACATCACCAATAAATCTACAGATCCGTGTGTACGGCGTGGTGCTCCGACTTTCTCAAAATAAAGCTGTTATGTGAAATATGATGTGAAGGCAATGAACACAAAGGAGAAGAGGACTAATTATGAGGGGGGGGGGGGGGGGAAACAGGCTGCTGGAACCTGATCAGTTATCTAGAAAATGAAATGCTTCAGGACCAGAGGATGACGAGTCTTTAATTCATAAGGTTGTTCTGAGTCAGCTCCGATGAAGACGCATCGAAACGTGTCACAATAACAAATAGACATGAAAACCGACGCCGCTTCAATTAATTTAATCAAAAATAATTAGTCCAAATCAAATGTATTCCTGACTGAAAGCTCAAGCTTTCAGAGTCCATTTAACTGGGTGCTTGTGTTCAGTCTGAGAGAAAAATGTTGAATCATTTATAGGAATTCAAACAAAACCAAAACAACAATCTTAACCACTCATAAAAAATGAATGACGCATAAGAGGTTAAAATCTAATCATATTGAAATTGAAAAGCGTGAAGCAAAACGCAGAGCTGCCGCTCTGGAAAGAACAAAGTGGTGAAATGTGGTAGGTCGGCTGTCTTGGTCCTCCGAAGGTTTCTCAGACACCGTTCTACAGCCCATAATCCCACAGGGGGTCCTTCAAAGAGTTATTCTGTTCAAACAGTAGAATTTGCTGGATTTTTTAACCAATTCCCAGAAAAAAGGCCCATTTTCCCTCCCAAACGTTTTTTTTTCTTTTTTAAACATCCACAGATAAGACGCCCCTTCCACCCACAGCGGCTAACCGGCTAACAGTGGTCCAAAGTGACCAAGGAGAGGAGCAGCTCTCATATGTTGAGGCTCTGCGTCACCTCACAGCAGAAAGGTAATTACGGCCCATTGTGTCAAACTGTGAAGAAGAGATGAAAAGATAAACATTCACCTCCAAAATCATCCGCTACTTAAAATGAACAAGCTGGAATGCAAGATTTCCAGCAGATTTTCAGGTTTCAGTCATTTTATTAAAGGGCTCTTTCAACCATCTGCCTCCGAGAACATAATCAACTAGGTATAACAGGCCGGTACAACATGGTGTCTGAACTGCTTCAACAGCCACCTTTCACTTTCAATTCCGAGTAGAGACCTGGAGATGTCCCACAAAAGCACTGATATCTTTAAAAACAAACAGAGTTCATTCATGATTAAGAGCTCAGCCCCTTCCAACTGGAAACAGCTCCCAGAAAAAAACAGAAAAAAAAACAGCATGAAGCTCCTTTCTGCCAGCTCAGACCCAGAGAAGAAAGACGCCTGGTTTCCTCTTCTCAGCTGTCTTCTCACGGTGAGCAGCATTCGGTCTCTGTACAGCAAAACTCTGATGAGGACAACCCGTTTGGAGTTGGGGGGTTTTTCAGCTTCGTGTGACAAATAAAGCTCGAATCAAATTACAGGCAGATTATTTCATCCTCTGTCAGATAGCTTCCCAAATTAGTCTTTCAAACACTGAATGAGATTAGCAGAGGGAAATGGGCCATTCTTCTGGTGGCTCTGGGGCTGACGCACACACACACACACACACACACACGCAGATGTGGGTCGAAGCTCTGATTCAAATAAACACCATTTTCTGATTTGGCCCATGAGCTGTAAAAGCCCCAGTGTGGACTTTCACCAGCACTGGGGCAAAGCTTTTAGCAAGCTTCCCGGGCCGACAAAAGAACAGTAACAGATGCATGTGACAATTATGGTGGTTTGTTAACCCTCAAATTTAATCGGCGACGCACTCTCTGCCCGTTTGTACTTCACAACAAACTGCACACGCGCTGCCTTTTGCACCGTCTGATATTTCACAGTCACAACAACGACGTGGACCAGCAGACCATCATTATCTGGAGTCCTTCAGACGCATATTTATGAGTAACTTTACTCCCACGCAGGCACACAAAGGACGGTGGGATTTGTTCAAACAAACGCAGGAGCGGGACCCCATCCAAGGACATGTGACGTGTCGCTGTTCGCCAGACTGCCGGCGACGGCGTGTCAGATTGAGGGGACGCAGGCTGCCGCTTCCCACAGGGCCCAGCAGCAACAGGAAGCGTCTCACTCGCCTTCGTGCAGCAGCCTTCAGTAAAAGCAGCGTCCCGCTCTCCCCAAAGCCTCTGACTTTTTCCTAGAAGCTGCGGGCAGCTTCATGACCAGGCAGGGGACTCTAATCTGGTTAACGCAGCAGGGCTTTGTAATCACGACTTTAAAAAAAAGGCATAAATCCAACAACTTTCAGACAGTATTGGATGGGAGACATATTCTGTTGATGTAATTCACCTTTTTCCTCCTCAATCTGGCAGAATTGTTTGAAATCTTTCCGTTTTGCGCCCACGTGACTGAGCTGAAGCAAAGTTTAGGCACTCGCTGCACAACATTGAAAGAGCTTTTTGGTATCTTTTGGTACTTTCAGACATGCTGCCCTGAGTTTTTTCGCCCCCTGCGTTGACTTCCTTCATCGATCCTTTGTGTGACCGCAGGAAATAACACGCAACGTTTAACAACGCATGAGAATCCCAAGTACAAGTTATAGGAAGACTCATTCAAACCAGCAGCATTCAGTTTAAACACCAGGAGGAAAACTTGCTAACTATGGATGTGGGTTCCTTGCAGGTCACACAGGCTTCTGGGTTGTACTTCCTGGAGAAGGGCATCACGGGCCTCTTGCTCAGGGGGTGCGACAGACTTGGCACTGGGGGTGTGTGCGCGGACTGTGTGCTGCACGACTCCCGGCACTCGTCTGCCCGGAGAAAGCTTAACCCCAATGCAATGTGACAGTCCGCTGCCCCCCTCCCACAGCCCTCACTTACTCCATCTTCTTTAGTCTCCAGTTTGAAACCCTCACACAGGGTTCCATTTGAAAATATAACATTTTTTTTTTTAAAACACGCGCACACACACTAAAATCAGTCCATTCAAATTTCTGATACATCTGAAAATGAGTCAGTCACACGTGAAACTGCCTGATGCAACGCTTTTTACCAATGTGACTAATCACAAAGGACGCAACTCTGCAAAGGACCTTAGACCCTGGAGCCTCCGCCTTTCCGAACCTTTAGAGCCAGCTGGGACGAATAAGAAACAAACTGCAACTGTGGACTGCATGTTTCTGACAATTCTACCGAAAACCAGACCAAAAGAGACTGATTCCATCATTGTGTTCTTCCTAGGCCTTTTGTGCTTGTGCCTTAGGAATTTCGGTTACTCGGTTTGCTGATCAGCTGAGGGGCAGGCAGCTCAGATCCGATCACAGGAAGTCATTCAGGGTGTGTCAGTTCCATTTGGGATCAGATCATCCATTCGGGAGAATGCCAACAGTGATACGGACTTGCAGTGTGGTGGAATGATATGCAAATACCATGAACATCATTTCCACCTCTAAAGACCAAACCACATTTTTCGTATTTAGCCTGTGGGATGTGAAAAGAAATTTGAATATAATGAACTGGCCATTTCCGCTCACCAACATTAGGCGGCGTGATTTACGCATCTGCCTTCAGAGGAAGTCACTTAGGTCAGTGGCCCTTTTGGCACAGCTGAGGCCATTTGGACTTCTCCAAGAATGTGGCCATCTGCTGCCGACACCACTTCCAAATGTGGTGCGAGCTGTTAAATCTCCACGTACTGGAGGCACCTGGGGTGCAGTCCCATCTAAACCCAAGGGGTGATGGTCACATCGTCCACAAATCTAAATCAACGGCAGCCATCAAAATGGAATTTTTCACAAATAAATGCCTCATATTATTCCTGACCCGTGGAGTTTTTTTAGCAGAGCTGGAGAGAAACGGCAGCTCCCAGAGAGTCCATCAGATAAAACCAGCGCATTAAGCTCAAATGTGCAATTACAGACTCTTTAGGGTGGCCGCCACCGAGAGCGCAGCACAGTAAAAATCACACAATCTTATCTTCGGGGCAGACTGCCATCTCTGCCAGCCAGAGTGAGTGGAGGGGACCGGCAGGGGGAGGAGAGGAACTTCCTTCCGAATCCATTCATGCCATTCAGGCCACCTGCTGTGCCTGTCAAAGGCTGGAAGCGGACTGGGAGAGAGAAAGAAAAGCCCCATCTCCAAGCTAAAAGAAAGAGGAGCTCCGCTGGCTCCCTGCACCCACTCTGCCGGTCACCGAAATGTGAATGAAATCCCCGGGCATTCCTTTGGTTTTTCATCTCGAAAGCGTGTCAGGAAAGTTTGGATTTTGACCTGTGTGCTCGCGGCGCATCGGAAGGGAAAGCCTCCAATCAGCAGCCGGCGACCACGGCGAAGCGGCGCCCGCTGCCTCCAGGAGGATGTCAGGATCCTCCCCGTCTCCCGGTAAATCCCAGCCCCTGAACCACGGCCAATGCCACCTGTCGGGGCTCCTCACCCCTCTGCCAACAGCCCTCCCCTGTCCCAGCTGTGTGTGTGTGTGTATGTGTGTGTGTGTGTGTGTGTGTGTGTGTGTGTGTGTCTGTGAATGTGCCAGTCGGAAGGAGATGCAACTGCCCGGCCAACTGGGGCCGTGCTAACAGAAAGGATTACCCTGGAGGAGGATTACTGGCCACTGGAACATGCAAGCACACCCACAAAAAGCAGTACGCCTCACCTCAGCAGAGCGTGGGGGCACCTGGAGTTGTGTACCTTGTAAAAAAATAAAAAATAAAAACTGTCAGGGAATCACAAAGTGGTGGAAGGAGTCCTAGAAATGGTTGGGCTTTTTTTTGGAAGCCCATGAACATGGAGAGAGGCCTGCCCCAGCCAGCTGAGGCCTGGAGCAGCTGACTGAAAGTGGGTGAGGCAGGGAGAAAAGTGGGGGGGTTAAAGTCCGTGTTACAGAGAACTCACACCGACCAAAGCTAAACCTCGCGTCACTGTCAATATCAAGGCGCTCGAGACCGGGTTTGTGTCGTGGTTTGGTGCCTGAAAATGTCGTTAAAAAAATAAATTTAAAAAATAAACCTGTTCCAGGACAGCTGGGAGAGCCTATGCCACCCCCCCACCACCACCCCTTCGATAAACGCAGGAAATAAATCCCAAACCTCGAATCCTGCTTCAGGAATAAAAATGACAAAGACTCTTTTTTTATTAATGTAACGTACGACACCGAAGAAACTCTTCTGGTTCTTTCCCAACTTTCACGGAGTGTCACAACACCACAAGGCCCCGCTCCCTCCACCAGAGAATGGGACTTTTTCTCCCCCTTCGGGAGACGTTTCTTACCTTAAAACCAACCTCGGCAGTGTTGTACTTCGGCTACATGCGTCCTGTGATCCTTCTTCCCTCCACGTTTTTGTGTTTTAGTTTTCAATTCCCTTCCACAATCCAAAACGAACACACGCAGCCGATACCAGTAGCCTGTAACGTGGAATCTCAGTGCTCAGACCGTCCCATGCCGATTAACTACTTCGCCGGCACAAAGTACTGTCCTTTTAATTCTTTACAGCGAGGAGAAATCGCCCGACCACGCGCTGGTCTTAATATGGCGACGAAACAGCGAGGTACAACGCTAAAATGAGCAGAAATCACCGCCTGCTGATGGACCGGGGTTGCCCCGAGAAGACACACAACAATAGCTGGACTAGTACGGAGGAGCCAACGAGGCCAAAGAAGGAATCATGCCGCGTTCAGGGACTCAAATTAGACTCGGAATATCCATTTTTATACCCAACAGTTGTTGTCTTGTGGAAGCAAAGTGAAACCATAATTGTTTCCGGGTTTCCTTGATTATACTGATTTATTGGCAGTTTTTGTTCTTTTATAATAATATAACAACTGCATGTTGGTTGAAAACAAAAAACACACCACACACTCGGTGTGCTCATGTGATGAAAACAGTGCACATGTTTGTTTTCATTCAATAGTTTTGGTACATAAAAATTAAATTTGGCCTCTGGTGCTGTGCAGAGAAACAGTGTTTACTTTGGGGTTTCATTAGTCCTTGTTCATCTGAAATAATTTATATATGTGGTCAATCGTCGAAGGCCTTGTGTGACTGTATGAAAAAATAATGACAATATATAGGCTAAACTGACTTGGATGCAATAAGAATCATAATTAAGAGAGAGTATACCTGAGAATCGTCCTTAATATTTTTTTCTTGATTTTGTCACGTTTCTCAAACACACATCACGGATGTAGTCTAATGTCCGACAGTCGTTGAAACCCACATCATGTCCTATTGAATGGTTTTCCCGTGTGCCCAATATGGCCGACATCCCTGTGTCTTGATTTGGAGAAAGCCCCAGATCTGGCAGCGACCCACATCTATTAAGTCGTTCATACGAACAACAGTCAAAGTGAAACTATATATTCAACTAAATCAATTGTGTTTAAATACAAATAAATAGAAACGTTAAACCACATAGTTTAACCTTTTAACCTAATTCCCATTTTAAAATGTGTTTGGCGCCCTCTAGTTTTGAACATCGGTTTAATCAATCTGGTCAAAAATGTGGCATTAACAGCTGAACTTGCATTGGGATTTTGAAAAATGCTAAATATTCCCCCTCAAAGCAATTTTAGAAAGAAAATAAAGGGCTCCATTGTATTTTTCCTACAGCTATAGATTTTTGACAAACTGCCTTGGTGTATCAGAGGTTTAGGAATTACATTAAAATAAGGTACACTAATAACGAGAATGCACGTTGAATACTTAAAAAAAACAACTATATTTTTGGCCTCTGTGGCTTCATCTTGTATGATGATACTTGTTTTAATTTTTTAAGTGTTACACTGACCTCTGCTGACTGATGGCACTATGCACAGGAGCCTTCCCAAAACCTTTCAAATATGAAGTTCTTGAAACTGCACATATATGAATGCTCGTAAACATACACAGGGAATGAACTGTGAGTTTCTGAAATTATATGCTGACAATATTTCAGAGTTCATGGACTCCCGGCTCTGTCTCTACCGACGATTTGAAAGGCTATGTCAGGCTCATATTTTGGAAAAAGTTGGAAACTTTGGAATTTAAAACTGTAAAGAAAACAGCATGGTATGTTTAAAGATCATTCATTTATTTTCAATCTGCCTCCTTTGATCCGAAGGTAAATCCAAACAAAAGTTATATCATTGTGGTTCATGACCAGAGCCAAATTCAAGTCAATTAGAATCCAATTTATTGTGACACAATTCTAGAGCCGTCAATCAATATCTCAGAACTTTAAAATTGGGTAATTTTATCCAAGCCAAATTACAAAAAACAAAAACTACCTACTCAACAAAACCAAAATAATTGGTCTGAAATTTCTCTTTAATCCAGTGGGTTGTCCATTAAGCAAAAATGGAAAGAAAAAATCCCTTTTGAACAATGACAAAGCTGTAATAAAAATCTGCTGGGAGTTGAATTTGGGAGAAAAGAGGGGTTGACAAGAACTACAACACAAGATCAGGTACACTTGTTGAAAGTGGCAACAATGTACATGTAAATGGAGAGTGAAAGAGACATGGAAGGTGCATCATGGGAATTCCAATAGCATTCTGCACATAGCAGTCTAAGTATTGGACGTTTCAGGGTAACCGGCGCCATCCCCAAATGTAAGCTTAATCTAATAGTATAGAGGACACAAAAGCCTAATTTTTAGGTAGAGAGGATATCTGCCTCCTGAAGATTAACATGCAGCTGTTAGAGGAGAGGCACCTGCTACCTGAAGGCCTCGCCTCTCATTCTATTTTTAGAGTCACTGCGTATTAGAAGTACATCTTTATTATGGAGCCGTAATATTCTATTTGCATTTTGCTGCAGAAAGTACTTTCAAGGCTTCATCACAACAAAGGTTGTGGTTTGCGACAGACATGGTTCCAAATATAGCCCATCTGCAGATCTGCAAGTTAAATAGAGCGACCACCCTTTTTGCCACGACATATCATGCTTCCAACTGTACCCTTTATAGATTTTCAGATATTTTCCTTCCTGTCTTTTCTAGTAAAGACTTTAAAATCATATCTTTCAAACTGACTCTTTACAAATAAACCTGCGTCGAAGTCCATTTCCATTTTTTCCCCCTATTGTCCAATTATCATTTTTGGACAATGATGTAGTAATTTTTTTTTATTTTTAAACATTAAAACCAGTTTAATAACTCAGAAATCATTATGTGTCATTTCTCATTGTAACCAGGACAACATTTAGGCACATGAAATATGCTATTTCAGTAAATGTGCGATTGAGTGATTGTGTTTTTGTTTGAATTTGTCATTACAAGATCCAAAATCAAATCAACATATTAGTTTTCCTTGTATGTGAACTGTAATTTTGATTATTGCTTTTTGTAATAATCCATTAAATGAAAGGATGGGTGATGTGGGGCTTTTAAAGATTAAATATCACGGCTGTAGAGGGTGAAAAACACTGGCTTCAAGATTATTACCGCTATATGCAAATGTCTAGCAGGACTGGCAGATTTGTTTTGCATTTATTTATTTTTCAAAACAAAGTGAAAGCATAATCCCACATGTGCCTTATGAATGTGATTATTCAGCTCATAAATTAATTTATAAATGTGAGCAGGGGAAAAAAAAATCATTCATTTTCTTACCCTCGTGAGAAAATGTGAGGGATGAAACCATACAGTCTCAAAACGTTTCACTCTTTTCCTCATGGTGGCGCCCTTAGCCCGAGTTACTGAGCCGTGTCTGAACCTGCAGCACGAGGCCTAAAATTAGTAGTCTGCTCCCGCCCAGACGTATGGGATTTAAGTTGTGCTCTTCACAGGAATCACGTCCCATGAAAAGAAGTTGTGGATAGGCCCCTTCTGGCACCGACTGCCTCTGTTCGTCATATTGCGTCAGCCTAAACAAAACGCTGACGTGAATCTCTCTCGTGATTGGAAAAACTCTTCAATTGGTCGGTGAGCTATAGGTGTGATTCAGCCGTACGCCGTTCAATGGAGAGATGTGCTGATTTCCCGTCGGTGCCATGTCCCCCAATGCAGGTCAATGTATTCACATTATTTTATTCAAGTTTCCACTTCTCAAATCAAGCCTTATAAATCTGAGACGCCCTCTCAGACGTCATACACACATTGTATAGCCAGCTCACCCCACAAAGTTTAAACGGGTTTAACTGTTAGATAACGTTAGATCACGCATTTCCTGAAAAAAAAATCACCAAAAATGAACAGCATTTTTACTACTTTGCTAAATCCAGCCAATTAGGCCAGAGGCCTGAATGAGTTTGGGTTTATCAAATGCTATTCATTGGGACGAGCTTTGTCTCAAATGTTTCGTTTCGACATGTCATTGTAGCAATAGCCTACATGACATTTCAGAACCATCTTTAAACAATGTCCGAGTCGTCCAGGCCGAGTAGGGTGATACGGCATCATGCGTCACCGGGCCATGTTCAAACCTGATTACGCGTCTAATTTATTTCAACAATCTAACGGATATGTCGAGCCCTCAGTGCGGTTACGGCATGTCCATTAAAGCCACCCCCTTGTTATCCAACGGGCAATTATTGGAAATGATCGGGAAAAGTGACTGTGAAGTCTGGAAGCCGCAATTTGAGACGATTGGTTTCAGCACTGGACAGCTCCCGACTCCCTTGAGGCCTCGGAGTTGGTCCAATGGAAGCCCAAGCCACCTCCACCACACCACCCGGTCATTTGACACCGTTCTGATGCTCTGTCATAACCATTAAAGCCGAGTTGGACCAACTGGTGACGTGACAAAATCAAGCCGTGCGCGCGGAATTGATTTAGGCGGCAGTCATAACGAAAAAAACCGGCCAAATCGTGTATTTCTGCCTGTTAAAGAAAGAAGAAAGTTTAGAAGTAAACTTCCATCTTGGTGGGGAGGTGGGGGGTGAGTCTGACGGATGCGTCGATGAGGAAGGAACTGTACTATTATATTCCGGGAGGAAGACTTGATGACGTCCATAGCATCCTTAATGTGACTTAGTGGAGGGAGGAGGGGGGAGGAGGGGGTGAGGGCAAGGCTTACGCTTCGCAGGATAAAAATCCAAGGCAATCAACGGAGCAGGGCAAAAGTTTGGAGCAGCGATATGTAGAGGAACACACAGCGCACTTTCCCACCGAGTTTTTTGGTTTCTCCCCGCTAAGCCCTCCTAATAGTGTCTAAAAAGTGAGATAGGCTGCGCCGACAGGAACATAAGGAGGCGACGGAGGCGCTTCAGCCAAAGGAAAGAAGTGCCGTGAGAAAGATACCGTCTCTCTCTTGGACACGCTCATACACACACACACACACACACACAGACACACACAGAAACGCGCACAGCAGCACAGCCGCGCCCGGATCGCGTCCTACCGCACAGCTCTTCCTGCCTCCCTGCTATAGGTATGTCCTTTTCTCTGCGGAATGTCTGAAAACGCGGACAATTTCTAAGCTGGAGAGCGATGTAAAATAATGGAAATTGTTTTTTTTGTTTTTTTTCGCTTTTTTGTTGTTTTTTTTTAACTGAGCTGTAAGGATATCTGCATTTTTTTTCTCTCCAAAAATTACTTTTGCGCTGCATGCAGAGGATTCTGTGTCAATGCCGCAGTTAAACTTTTACGAAATGGGATAAAAAAGGAGAAAGAAATAACTTTGATAAGCGCACGGACGTTTTTGTTCACAGGCTCTTGTTCTGTTCAGGTCGCTACAGGGTGTTTGGTTTTTAGTAATTAAGAAGTATAGCGTTTTAAAAAAATTGCGCTATCTTGTTGGTTTTGCACACAAACCGGTTTTAATGCCTCATCTGTTTGATTTGGTCTTTCAACAGCATGGCCAGTTCGAGTAAAGCGACTTTAATCTTGCTCATCTACGGAATCTTAATGCACTACAGTGTCTTCTGCACACCTATCGGACTAAGTTATCCTAAGATAAGGTAGGTCTTTCTGGATGTTCGTAGCGGTCATTTTTTTGTGATTGCTAAAGCTTAAACCTGTATTCTTTTCTCTGTTTGATGCATTGTGATTAATCAGAAAGTGATTTGGTTTTGCGTCAAACTGCACATAAACTATGCACGCATTGTGGAACGGCTGGAGCTAGAGGAGTAGCCAAAGGTTGTTTAATTATTTCGAAGCAAACAAACGCAAATGTCGTGTGGAAATTGTACAGAGGTGTCAGTCCGGTGGGACGGTTCACAGAACCCCTCCCCCCTTATTAAAAATGAGTGCAGTCTGAGCAATGGATAGCCCTCGGGATGACGGTGGACTGGCGTCACCAAGGAGAGGCGAGGCAAAACGAATAGGAAAGCTCCGTTCATTTCACATTTATTCGTCTACCAAAAAGCATATCCGAAATTTAGGCGTGGTTCTTGTTGATTCCGATAATCACACCTATTTTAAGAAAGCTTTAAAAAAAACAAAAAAAAAACAAGTCCACGCCTACACAAAACGTGATCATTTTCACACCCACCGTTTCGACTTTTAAATGATTAATGAGACAGTAGCCTGTGCTCAGATTTCCATTTGGAATGTTGTAATTACAAAGTCGTTTTCTTCGTCAAAAAAAAGGTATAATAAAAGAATATATATACATATATAGTTTTTGGGATATTAATTTATTTGAATCCATTATTTCTTCCCAAATGGCAAATAATTCGTTTTCTGCTCTCATTTAAATAGAAACTGCTTTTTAAATTTCGTTTTATTCCTTGACCACACGATGCATTTAACCTGCCCCTGCTTTGAGAAGCAGACATTTGGCATTCTTTCACTCCCACGTGTGCGCGTCTGAGCTTAGTGATGGCCGTTCTCCCCTTTGCAGACTTGAAAACGACGCCTTCGATGAGGATGGCAATGCTCTGTCGGACATGGGATTTGAGAACGACCAGATTGCTATACGAAGCCCCCCCTCACTAAACGACGACGCCTACTCCCTGTACTACCCCCCGGAGAAGAGGTAAATGTGCTGTCAGGTCTCAGCTCAAGCTTTCGGCCATACCTAATGACTTTTATTTATTTTATTTTTTTGGTTTTTGTTGTTGTTTGCGATAATGTTTGCTTGCTTTGCTCTCCCCAGAGTTTTCTCGTGTTATTTGTCGTGCGTAATTTCCATTTAATTCTTTTTTTTTTGTTGTTGTTGTTTTACACCGAGTAGCCTAAAATGTTGATTCCAAGTTGCTGATAAGAGGATAAGATAATGAGCAGGGCTCGGGGGAGACGGGAGGGTGTGTGTGTGTGTGTGTGTGTGTGTGTTTGGGGGGGGGGGGCAGCCTGTTCAGACGCCATTAGGCTCCGCTTTAATTGCACCTGTGTGAGACCAAACCACCGGATTGGGGTGGGGACATTTTAGGCTACTCCTGATCATTTGTGTCTGCGCCCTTCTCTTTGTTTTCTTTCTTTTCTTTACTTTCTTTAAGTCACTGATGATCTATGTGTTTTGGCGTTTTATCATCTCAGACCAGAAAGGCATGCTGAGGAAGAATTAGATAGAGCCTTGAGGGAGATCCTGGGTCAGTTAACAGCGAGACATTATCTACATTCTCTGATGACTGTTCGTGCAGGGTAAGGGCATTTCTCTTGTGCTGCACTCATTCTTTTTTCACCCCCTCCCTGCTTGTGCGCATCCAAAGTTCAGGCTGCTCCATCTCTGTCTGTCATTCTGTGTGCGCTTTATTTTTTATTTTTTTATATTTTCGTAACGAAACAAAGGACGCTTTCATAACGTGTTTTTGTTGTGTAATTTTGCTGTGGCGTGACTCCGCGTTCATAATGAGGGTCAGGATTCTGAGGCTTAAACACACAGCGAAAGAAATGTGATCCCAACATTAATTAGTGAATTAACTGTTTGCCAAAGCACTGATAAAAAAAAAAAAAAATCATGCGTCAGAGAATCAACTAGACTTGAGATTAATAATTTATCATCAGTTTCTTTATCCTTTCTTGCTTGCCGCCCCCCAACCCCCCCCAAACTGATAAATAAATAGGATTAAAGGCCTATGGATACATTTTTAATGACTATTGGGGAATTAAACAACAAAAAAACAAAAAAAACCGTAATTTCGTAATTTCACAAATGGCAGGGTGGTTGTCAAAAGGGAGATATCTGTCAAAAAGTTTGCGCTCTGGACTAAAATTGTCATCATTTTCCTGACTTGTTTTTTCAGTGAAGACAACAGCATGGAGGAGGACTCTGAGCCCCTGTCCAAAAGACATTCGGACGGGATCTTCACCGACAGCTACAGCCGCTATAGAAAGCAGATGGCCGTGCAGAAGTACCTGGCAGCGGTTCTGGGTAGAAGGTACAGACAGAGAGTTAGGAACAAAGGACGCAGGCTCGCCTATTTGTAGCGTCGCAAAAGCTCCCAAACTGCCCTCCTGTGTATATACATCCAGTCGTTAAATCAAAGTCATTCAGATATATCTGACCAACCAGTGGATTGCGCCTGTGTTCTTTCAACATGTATTTATGTATGAAGTAAAGCCATTAAAATGAATATTTTAATAATAATCGTTTTTTTTTTCTTTTTGTACAAAAGCACTTGATACCGCACAGTTATACTTTGTGGACCAATATTTTATTTTTCATGTTGAGATGTTGAAAGCAAAAGAAAAAAAAAAGAAAAAAAAAGAAAAAAAGAAAAAAAAAGAAGAAAAAAGATAGATGTGCACCTTCAACATTATGCGCTTGAAATCTTTAAAGGTCATCTACATATGCAGAAAAATAAATAGATTTTAAAAAGACAATCAAAGTTTTGAATGTTATACTTATTTTTGTAACCAACGTTCTATTTTTTTAGTGTCTTTTGTTTTCCAACAGGCCCAAAGAAGCAGTGAGCATGCTATATGTGCCAGGCATATCCAGCTTATCCGAAATGATAGATGCTGCCCTTGTCCACCTCTTTTTGCTGCTGCCCTTGATGGGAGCTCTGTGGGTTTGTGTGTGGGGAGGGGGGGGGGGGGGGGTGAAGTCGGTTGGCTTTTGTTGAGCAGCCTCCCATTTGATAGATAAATGACTATCTTACACAGCAATTCGTGTAACCGGCTGTAAAATTGAACCTTTCTTTTCCAGTGAAATTCAATTGCAGGACCTTGAATCATCACAAAAGTTGCTAACAGAATGTGGAAAACACTGCCTGCTAACTTACCTAAAAGAAATTTACAGCAGAGGATATATCATGCTCAATGGGACTGCGTAAAGAACGTTCCATGTGTGTGTGTGAGAATATATTATGTGAAGTTTAGAAATATTCCCGGCACACCTATTCATCCTAATGTTGTTAGTCAACACAATTGTACGGAGGATTGTTGTTCAGCTTGTGACTGTATACGTGGACAGCCCTGCAAGCAGTCGAGGACGAGTAAAAAAAGCAGGAAAAGGAAGAGTTACAGTTGGGGATTTGGAGCTTTTATATGGTGCATGCGAAAAAAAAAACTTACACCTTGCTAAATTGTCACTTTCTGCATGCCATTGTGCTTCTTTTGCTTTTTGTGAGGTGGGCCGTGCCAAAACGATTTCAGCACCCCTCCTTCTCAAAACGCTCAGTGACAGCAATGTGATTGAGGGCTAGAGGTGGTAGAAACTGGTACTGCACTGACTTGTTGAATTGTACCTCTCCTGCTGTTGACATTGTGGATATGTTAATACGACGACCGTTATTGCCGATTGTTTTTTGTCCAGGTAGCAGTTTTTGAAATTTCCTTTTTTTCTTTTGTTGGTCTAAGTGGTCAGGCTTTATTGTTGATTTGGTCGTGCTGTGGCTCAACTGTGTTGGATGTCTACGGGTTTCCGTGTGCAGTGAGGATGGCAGGAGATAGTGTTAGGTGAGATGTGGATAAGCACGGTGAGGAGGGGAGAGCAGGAGAGGGTGAGTGTGTGAAAGAAGAGCACCGCAAAGCGATGTGTTGCATAACGGACGGGTTCGAGCACCCACAACAAGTGCTGCATGCTGATTTGACAAAGAAAAAAACAACAAAAAAAGTTGGGGCCTCATCTGCCACAGCGAGATCAGGGTCAATGAGTCTGATGAGAAGAGCGTCAGACGTTGAATTCCCCTCTCTGAGGTATCAGCAGGAGGAGGAGAGCCAATCTGGATTAGGCCACTCTGAGTTTCACCCTCACACCAGGACAGAGGTGAATGAAATTCAGCCCTCCGTTGGAGGGATATTCCCTCTGACTTTCATCCAAGTAATATTTCATGCATTTATTCAACGTTATGCAAACGCAGCTTTATGCACCCCTGCAATCCAATCAGCGGCCTGTGTTCCCCCTCACAGACTATCAATACTCTGTTCCTTCAATTTGGCTTTATTCCACAGGCTTTGTGTGGATGTACATGTATGCATCTTGCATTCGCGTGCAAGTGTGTTTAAATGTGTGCGTGTGTGAACGACGGTGTGAATGAGGAGGTGGAAACAGCTTTTGGCTTTGGTGCCTTGCTTTGACGTGAGAATTAAAAAAATAAAGATAAAAAAAAAGAAAAGAAAAATTCGCCACAAGTGACAGATGGCAAATTCAGTGGCCCTACAATGCTGCAGCCCATTAGCTTACATTGAAACTTCCTTTTACTCTGTTTAATCGCTTAGTTTAGTCTACCCCGAGAGTAGTAGAATTAGGCTTTCTTTTAAAGCATGGCCAGTCATTTATTGAGTAAAAAAAAAAAAAAAAAACGTGAACAAGAATAGAATGTACATGTTGGTGGAGCAGGCAATGTGTGTGTGTGCATGAGTTTTGGGGTGTTAAGTGTCTGTGGGAGTTGTGAACAATGACCAGTGTTTGTTACTGTTGGTTATGAGGTGTTGTTGATTATTTTGGTATTGTTCAGTAATCATAAAATAGCCCCTAAATATCATTTATAACTCTGTGCATCACTATCTAGAATGAAAGGGTGTCAGAGCATCACAGAGATGTTGTTCAGAAAATGCCTGTTGTTGATAGTACTGAAAGCGCCAAACGCCTTACTTCAATGTGTATTCTCTTATCTATCTTCAACCAATGTGTTTTAAAAGTGAACCTTAGTACAAGTGGCATCGTTATACACACAGGAGTCCATATATGGGGTTTTACGTTTCTCAATGTCTTGAAAGTGTTGTAAGATTTGTATGAATAAATTTTTGTAAACAACAAAATTTCCTAATCAATGTCTTATCTTTGAAATACATAATTTTTAAGAGCATACCCAGAGCAAAAAAAACTGCAGCCAATACATGACCATGGAAAATTCAGGAAAAAATCAGATGAGTCGAAATTTATCGTAAAATATAAGTGCACATGATCATAGAGGCCCGCATATTTTTTCTGAGGGTAGATGTCCTCATGCTGCAAACAAACATAGTTAGATGAAAGAAAATATGATATATCGTCTAGCAACAGCCACAACTCCAGAGGGGTATGCCAACCTGAAATCTTCTTAGTCCTCCAATCCAAGTCAAATTTAAAATTTCCAAAGCCGGACGAACACAAAGTTATCACAGAAAGAAGCACCGTTTCTTTGGTTGACCCTAAAGTAGCCACTTAGGTTAAATCATAAATGGAAAGGTGTTTTATTTAACTGATTGATCCCCACCACATCATGAGACTTCTGGATGGTTTTGATGCGTACAAAGAAGTGAACTTGGGAATCTAGCAAACATCTCCAAATAAGATCTCCAAGAAAAGCAACAAGAGTGGAGCTCGGGGAGCGCCTCCCTCCTGCTGGAACGGCCCCATCTCTCTCCTCCCTCCATCCTCAGCCTTGGAAGTGCAGCTGTGTCGCACAGGAGAGGAGGATGGGTGTGGCAGCGAACTGTGTGTGATCGGAGCCTCAGCCGGCAAGTGTGTGTGTGTGTGTGTGTGTGTGTGTGTGTGTTTGAGCGAGAGAGAGAGAAAGTGCAACAGAGCTCAACTAACCCAATCAGAGAAATGTTGCATGGCAACGGTCCACAAAGGGACACGATTGTGTACACGCATGTGTCAAGTGTGTTTGAATGTGTGGAGAGGGAGCAATGTGGAGAGATCGTGTAGATGAACATGCTTCTGAGTGGTTTTGGCTATTTTGTTTGCTCCACACTCACAGGACTTTGCACTGGAATGGTGTTCTACATAACCTTATTTTTGTGCGCGCTCGCGGCCAACAGAGCAGAAGAGACAGGGATGCACACGGTGTCCCTCACAAACACTGTTAGAACAACAGTCAAGGAGGAGCTCAGGTGTGAAATATGATTAAAACAATTCAACAAAAATGAATTAGCTGTGAGAAACTGCCACACACAAGCACACGCGCATTGGGAATACATCTTAGTTTCCTTCCCTATGGATACTGATTCATGGGAGTTGCCCTGTTGCTATGAAAAAGCTGATGGATTGTCAATTGTCAGAGTCTAGGCTGGCGGTGTGAAATAAAGGCGTGTCCATTCCTTATTTATAGCCCCAGCTTACATTTCAGTTCTCATAAACAAAAAGAGGCTCATCTATCTGACAAGGATTCCAAAATTCCTCATGACTTTTCTGCAAAATGTGAGCATGTAGCAAATGAATTAGGTAAAATCTAAAAGACAACAACAAAGAAATGTATTCACAAATAAATGGTGTTTGATAAGCACACTCTCATGTACCCACAAGTAGATTTTGAGATAAATTCTCCAGTTTGTTTGCACGGCAATGTTACTGCACATGAGGGGCCACCCTCAACCAATTTGTACATAATGTACATTAATGGCTGGATCAATAGAAGATGGCTCCTCCCTCCTTTTAGCGCTGCACCACTTCTCCATGGCATCACTTCTCATCTCACCATTATCTGGGAGCCGTTTTACAACCGATGTCAGTTCTTCGGAGTTCTTCCCCCTTGTTGTGGCCTTGTTGCTGAGAAATGGAAGAACTCTTTTGCTTTCAAGCTGCGCGAACTCACGCTCGACCCAGCTCTTAATAATGCTCCCTCTGCCTCCAGACACGTCTTAATCATGTGCAAAGTGTCGGAGGGGGGAAGGGGAGTTTGCGTACAGGGCTTTTCCAGCAAGGATTCCCACACCGCCTCCGGTGCAACAGCCACACCCACCTTTCTTTGTATCAGTGCATTACACCAGCATGTGACAATAGGAGTTTATATGGAGAAATAATTTGGATCTGTTGCGACATTTCTGTAATCACTTTTTCATTAGTTTTTGTGTGTGTGTGTATGCTAATTGACCAAGACTAAATTGCATGCTACCCTCTCATTCCAAAAAATCTCTCTTGCATGTCAGGGTTAAAATATGAAACTCACAAGAGAGGTACGACGCAGTCATCCTCCCACCCTGCTCAGCCCCCTTTGTGCTTCAATTCATGAATCATTCAATGGCCACCTTTCTTTTTTTTTTTGTGGGAGTGGGTCAATCTGGTTATGTCCGCAATGAAACCCTTAATTGTGTCGGCCACGAAGCCCCCCAATCTCCCTCTCCTCTAAATCCCATCTTTGTCACATTTAGCATTGAGCGGGAGGCACTCTGCAGAGAGCAGCAGCCCCACTGGGAGCAACGCAAGACAGAGAGAGCGAGGAGACACGGAGAGGAAGAAAAAGGAGATGTGGGCGAAGGTTTTCAGACACGGCCCACTGATCAAGAGATGCTTCTGACTTAGGGAAACACTTTACCTGTGCTGCTTGAGTAATCATGGGTGACCAGA